TTTTTGTGACAAGCTTGGATTGGATGATCCTTTGGCTATCTTACTTGGAGCCAAGAGAAAAGCTCAATCATCGCCGAAGTTGTCACCCCCAAACAGAAGTCTGAACGACTCGGAGCTTAATATTACGCTGGACTCCTCCAAGATTTCAAACAATCCAGATGAGGTAAGATAATTTGACCTTTTTTGAGAATGATGTGGAAACTAGTGTAAAAATAATGACATATTCTGTCTGCTGTCTACACAACCATCAGGATTGTTAAATCATATTTAACAAACAATACTATTGGTCTTTCATACAGGTTGAGATAAGTGATGCTGATGATGATGATGATGCAGATATTGTGATGGAAATGACATTACTTGACGGTCAAGATAATGCTGAAGCCAGTGCTGAGGCAGCCATTGAGGATGTTGTAAGTCCCATCAGAAGAGATTCCTTTTCCACATCTCAGAGTCCAGGAACGCAGCCAACGGCCAGCTCTCCACGGTAAGGCAATTTCAAGGGAAAATGAAACTTGACCAAACTGGGTTTGGTTTCTGTTATTGGGTTATGTGATATGAAGAGATTATTTTGTTGAGTATGAATGATCACACTACAAAGACTAGGACGTATAATGAATACTTAAAATTTTGTATTATTGGTCTTGATGTAAAGTTTGCAAACAAAGTAAACTATTTCTGCAGGCTGAAAATAACCCATGGACAACGACGGGGCCTCTTACTGTCGGAACCTAAAAGTGACAACAGAAAATCTCCAGTTCCTTTCAATTTTGAATCTTCATCAGCTTCATCTTCACTAAGTGAGAGTGAATCAAGTCCGCGCAGAAGCCCACAGGCCAAACGGACTAACGAAGCAAGTGACAAGGAAATGTCCCAGACGGAAACAGCGTCATCATCATCTACCAGTGGGGACAACATGCTAGGAATGAAGAAATTCAAGCGAAGAAATCAAGCCATATATTCGTCGGCAGAGGAAGACATGTAAATAGTATTGAAAACAGGTGCATGATTCTTGTGGTGAATGTGAAGTGAGCTGATATTTTAATGTCTCATAATGAGAAGAGATTGGAGTTTGCTCTGTCCAGTGAAGGTGTGTGAATGAATTTTTGAAATCCATTGTTCATGAATGGATATAAAATTGTATGTTACTTTTTTTATATTTTTATAATACAAAGTGGCAATACTGTTTTGTCTAGTGCTAAGGTGCAAATTTTGTAATCTGCATGATGTGCAGACAGAGGGGTTTGACAAGGAATGAATGACTTTGTGATTGCGTAAATATGTAAAAATAATCTTGAAATTACACAAGTATTGTGTGATCTGGTACAAAGTTTTAAAATTTGCTTCATTTTGTTGCACATGTTACTTTTTGTTTTCATTGTAGTAACATTGATTAATGCAGATTTGCAGAAATGTTTTTTATTATCAGATATGAGGAAATTATTTGTAACAAGAAGTTAACAGGTTTTTCATGTAGACTTTTGAATGCTTCAGGTCCTTGAATTTGTTATTTTACCAAAAGACACATATTCTGTTTTGAAAGTAAGCCGTCACACATTCTTGAATTGTACAAACTCAGCCATGTGTGATTTTAATTATTAAGTCTGCTGCGTTTTTTGTTTGTCGAGCAAAGTTTTTCCTCTCTGCTATATAGACCATTTAATTCTTGTTCGATCCTTTGTTCTTCTTTTAGCATAACCTCCTCAGTCTCTTTGCAAAACGGCTAACCTTGAAAAACGTTAGTTTCCCCAAAAGATCATGAACATCAGAAAGAGAACCTTCACAAGGGATGAAGTGAATAAATGAAAACTATTTGTACTTTGAGGAGATAACAAAGTTCTGGGGTGCAGCCACAACATGCACAGTGCATTTCAAAGTTTTGGTTGTGTAATGAAATTATTATGTTCCATCTGTACATCTTCTTGCTCTTCTTCACATGTTAAACCACTGGTTGCTTCTTTTCTCATTTTTCTTTGGTCTCTTGGTCACCGGTTTACCTTATTCTCTTGCATTGTCTTCTTAGACTTGTTTTACATTCAGAATTAAGACCATTATTTCAATATCATTTCAGACTATAGTGTTTCATACAGTTATGTATACAGAAGACAGTTTTATTATATCATAACTAAGAATAGTCATGTTTTTGTGGTTGAGTTTATTTGTGAAAGAATATCTTTTACTTAGTGAAATCAGTTGTGTACATTATTTATTTATTGATACATAGATAATGTAACTAAATATGGAGAAATCTATATTATAGAAACTTTCTTGTTTATTGTATTTATTATCCCTTTATTCAAAGATATCAATTACAAATTGGCACATTATATTTGTAGACAAGGAAAAACAAGTTAGAACAATTTAATGATTTAAGTAGATTATACTCAAGCATATATGCTGAGTACCTGAAGTATACAGGAGAAAAGGATAACATAAGAATACATTTTAAATGAAGTCATACAATAAAATAGTAATATGTCTGCAAGAAATGGTTAGTTACAAATCTTTGTCTGCGGACATTGACTGATCAATAGCACTTGGTGCCTTAGACATGATGTCCAGGTAAGGGACTTGATCCTTGAGGTAAACTTGGTGAGGGTCAACTACTGGAAGCTCTACATCTAAAGTTGCAGCATTAAACCAAATCAAATCTACTTCACTGTCATACTTCATACTGATTGAACATCCACAAGTACTGCAGAAAGACCTCACTACATGCTCTGAGCTCTGGAATTCCTTGAGGCTTTTCTTGCTTTTGAACTCGAGGTTTGTATCGTTCACAGCAATGAAAGTGCAGTGTTCTGAACCAATGGCCTTCCTGCACATAGAGCAATGGCACCGAAACCACTGCAAAGGCTTGTTGGGAACATAATACTGGACTCCTTTGCAAAGACAAGATCCTGCAACATTTCCTTCCATGGCAGTGGCTAGTGTGTCAGATCTGGAAAATCACATTTTTATTAGTCATGGTGTCAGTACACTACTTTAAACTTCTACAGTAGTGCTCTATGACATTTGGCACATTTATTTGTTTTAACTAGAAACATCATCAATGGTACAAGATGCAAAATTCACATGGCACCAATATATTATAATTTACATATGCAATACAATATAATAACTTAGAATGCTGACTTTGTATTATGCCACATTTGGCCGAAAAGATCAAAGTAAGCTAACATTAAACTATATTTTCCCTTAATGCATTTGAAGCACAAATCTAAGTTGACAAATTACAGTCATTTAAAGTAAAATGATATATATATTTTTACTTTATTTATATCAGGGTAGACTTGATGTACAGGCCTGTAGGCTGAGAGGAATATGGGGTCTAAGGAGTTACATATTTTCTAATCATTCATATTATTCTATTATTTTATTTTCATCTTCAACTAAAAGAATTAAGGGAGGGTTCAGTCATTTTTTGTAAATCAATTACTAAATTCCACAGAATGGCAGTGTTCTGCTAATATTCATGAATTTACTATTGAGAGACTGATTTATTCTAAACAATTATTGGGATTTTGCATTGCAGGAATCAACTATAGCAACAATAGTGGTGGTAATTATAATGACTCAGCAAAGAGGCAAGGGCCTAGAAACTTTCCCCACATGTATCTGGGAATATAAAGCTTATAAACCATTAGCAATTGATTTTTTATATAAAGTCAGTCTTAAGTTGTGGGCTGAAGCCTGTGACCATTTCTTGACACGATGCCACTCTCACTGATGATGTATTTTATGCCCTTCTAGAGTTACTTTCTCCTCAGAGGACAGTAGGCCTCATAAATCCATAAGTCCCAGGTGTGATCAAATTGGTATACAGTTTAACTTGCATCAAGAGATTTAAATTTAGTAGGAGTAAAATATTATTATATGAGACTGGAATAGTTTCAGTTTCACACAGCCGAATGGTAAAAGTAAAGTTTGTTTGTGATGGACAGAATCACATAATTTTTATCTGACATTTCCTTTACAAGTTGATGATAGGAAAGTTATGCAACGCATGATGACTATTAAGACCGGGAAAAATCTTGTGTGTGTCATTAAGAGAAGAAGAAGAAAAAAAAGTATGTTCACTGATACTTGAAATAATCTGTTCAGGTAAAGAATAATGTCAAAAAAGAAGAATATAGCATGTGACAAATACAGGCATGGAGACTAAAGCCCCAGTGACTGAGTGGGGGTCCCGAGGGTAGAGAAAGACAACGATGGGTGATCGGGTTCTGGGGTATGTCGTGTTGATTATGGATTCATAGGAGTCCCCCAAGGTAACTGGCCGGAGAACTGGTAATGAAGGGATATTTATTGACATACCCCAAGGTATTTGCTCACCTGAACGCCCAGCAGATCGGAGAGTTTGTTTGCATCGGCCTTCAAACGTGTTCCATGCAGGATCGAGGGATCGAAAGTCAGGGGCGCGAAATTTGAATTGTCGAATGATCCTGAAGTCCCACATTCTCAAAATACCTCCAGGATAAAGCGATCTTATGGTTAACATAGCAACCACAGACGCGACAATGTTAGATCATAAATTACAACGTTAACTTATGATTGATAAAAAATGTATAGAGTAAAGTATAGAGATTTTAGAAAGAACCATTCCCTTCCCTTCCCTTCCCATCATACCCCCCAGCGCACTACTAGAGAATCAGTTTGTGTTGAAGAACACCAAGAGATATTCATTCCTTTAATTAATGACACACACCATTTCGTATTAGTAACATTTAAAAATTAATAAGAAGTCGATCAATTCTTGATAATGGAAATAATGTCACACAAGGAAAAAATACAAGAGAAAGAATGAAAGATATCCTAAATTGATGCTTCCCAGTGAACATCATTAATGCTTCTAAAGTTATTGTGTGTCTTAAATAATAAAAAAATCAATAACACTTTTGAAAGTCATGCGTGACTGACAACTTTAGTTAATTCTAAATACTCGACACATTCGAGAAAGAAAATGAAAATAACAATAACAATTATTCAAAAGAAGGTTACCATGAGCGACACACAAAGACAGAAGGAAAATGACACTGCCAGCTTACAGAGTATAAAACATAGTCATAAGCAACACAGGTACATCTGCAGCGGCCTCACATTTATCGATGAATGATGAAGATAGCCTTTGCATGTCACCCTCACACGCAATTTCAATGGGTCCACTTTATTTTGTAAGTCCGTTTCTTTTTTTTTCTGTTGACTATAAGAGTCTTCTTTTCTGTTGAAAGACCTGGAAATCATTTCCGATTAGTTATTTTGAATTATTATTATTATTATTTTTTCATATTCCTCATTATATTTTTTTTTTGTTTTTGTTTTATTTATTTTTTGTTGTTGGTGCTATACTATTTGCTTTGGTGCTTTCTCAAAACTATATGCGTTTTTATTTCGTTTTTTCTTTATCATTTTTATTATCTGTTCTTAACCATTTAAAGACTATTACTGCTTGTTTACACAAATCAAGATACTCAACATTTCCTTTGGTATTTTTGAGCTTGCAAGCTTATATCATACACTAACAGAATGATTTTGAAGACATCCCACCGAAGTCAATACCACATGTATCAAGGGTATATCAAAGTATTAGGGGGTTCGGAAACGTTACAAAAGAAAGTCTAAAGTTTCTCTTGTGTTTTCGAAAAATGTAGTTTTTTTTTTTTACGTTTCATTAAATCACTTTCTCCGACATCCAGTGCCATTCACTACCACCCCCATTCTATCCCAAGTTCCCCACGTATCCCCCAAGAAGGTTGGGTAGAGGAAATATATAAAAACTTCTCTCGAGGTACGTCGCTCTCGGTGACAAATATTCAAATGAGTCCTATAACTTACAAGCTCATTCTCTGTAATTTTGGAAATGACTTTTAAGTATGGAGGTCATTGATAGATTTATATCATGATTTCTTTTTTATAACTACCAAAGGATATCTCATTCTTACTCTTGTTGTTTTTTTGTGCGATATTATTCTTGTTTCTGAGCATGCAAAAATATGACTAAACAAAGAATAACAATTAATAAAACGAAAAACAAAAAAGACTTTAGTACCACAATTCGAATGATCAGATATATTTAAATATTTACACTGGAAACCTTCTTTTCTTTTCATGCTTTTTTTCTCATGCGAAATTATATGTATTGCAGACTATGGAAAACATCTGATTCTCAAAATAAATTCGTATTATAAGTTTAATACAAAACGACCATTAAAATAGGATTAGTCGAGAAAGTCTTCTAAATTTGCATAGATTTACGGACTATGTAAACGATATGCAATTAGAACTTCATATATATGATGACGTATTTAAAATAATCGGTCTTCCGAAACGCGAGTTTAATTATGAACACCAATAAGAAAGAGTGAGTCACAAAAACTACATTAAATCAAATTAAGAAGTTAATTGTTTAAATATAGTGCCAATGCGCTGGATTTTTTCAAACTTAAGCGATCCTTTGGCTCTTCAGCAATGTGTTGGTATGTATAACGTCATGGCTTATGACCCGCCCCTCCAGTCATCGTCTAATCCCTTCCTCTTTTTGTGTCCTCGGAGCAAATGTAAATGTTTAATACATTAAGAAATAGTTTAAATAAAGGCAATCCACGATCACACCATATGAGATCATTTTATCGAAGGGTTTTGGTATTTTTCCTACTAAATCACTTACAATGCAATGTAATACAACACTTACAATGTATTTGAAGCATACCTTCATGTCGGCAATCCCAGGTAATGTACAGATTAACATCGGTAATCTTTGTATAATGTCTACATTTAATTCCACAACTGCATTATAATTCATACTACGCGAGCTTAATAGTAATTTTGTATAAGATTTATAATTATTTTAAGAAAGTTATTTTCTTTGATCCAAACTACATATGAAAACAAATGCTAGATTTCCAAGTGTGTTAAGATGCCTTTTTTGTTTATTAGTTATTCTTTATTTTAGTAATATTGTTCATGATCGAAAATAGAAATAATATCGGTGAAGAAGAAAACCAATAACAGGAGAGTTGATACTTTCCAGCGAACGTGATTAAGAGTTCTTAGGTAATTATGCGTCTTAGGTAATAACAAAGTTCTCTAACAATTTCGATAGTCATACGTGGGTGACTTCTTTAGTTAGCCCTAAAACTCTTACAAATTGGAGGGAGAAAATGTGAATACTTTTAGGGCAAACAATAACAAATTTTAGAAGAGTCAAAAAGTCATTGTTTGTATTTTAGAAAAGGGTTATTGAGTGTCAAGGTCACAAATAGATTTTCTACCAATGAGTTTATAACTAACAAAGGATATATTTAATTTCAAAAGAGACATTAATAGAATTCGGATGATTAGATTTTGTTCACATATCAACACGAGAGGGAATCTTTAATTTATATTCATGCTAATTTTATTATATTATGTTCTTTGGACTATGAAAAAAGACTTTAAAAATAAATAGTAATTATAATTCTTTATGTAAAATTAACATTAAAATTGTAATAATGGTAAAAGTCTACTAAAATTTGCATAGATTTACAGAATACATAAAAAATATGGAACTAATAGTTTATATAATCGATTAAACAAGTAGGCTCGTTCCACTGTCACCAGATGTAAAAGCTATATTTTTGAACATTCAATGTAAAGTAATACACAGGTTAATCAACGCGATCTATTAGCACTCCAGCAACGCTTTGACGGTTATGACGTCATGGCATGTCACGCCCCCAGGGTATTAATAATGAAAATTTGAAACATTTCTTTAAATAATGTTTGCGATGCATTAGGGCATAAAGCTAATAAAGAAACTCCATGATCACACCATAAGAAATTTTATCAAAGGGATAAACAAGTATGGGTATTTTATGAGAATGCAAGGGATTTTGGCCCATGTTGCAACACATTATATAAAATATATATATATATATATTATTTTTTTTTAAAGACCTCAGGAGCCAGGTGACAATTGCACCTCCATAGGCATTTCGATGAATAAACAATTTCAGGAAATCAGAAAATATCCTACTGTATAGTTAGCGATAATACTATAGACGTTTTGTTATCACCGATTTGGAAAAAATAAGATCAAATGGCTTATGTAGTTTCCAAAAATTGATATCAATACACTTATCGGTTATTCATATTATACCAATGTTACAAACAACTTTGGGTTTTCGCCTCATTTATAATAATAATAATAATAATAATGAAACATTTACTTCATGTTTCCGTCGAATTTGTTGTCAGATGTTCAAAAATGGAAGCCAGCATGTGTACTGAAACATAATTCAGGAACTGCTCATGTATGTATGTGTGTGTTGTATACCTGGTCGAATAAATTCGCAGCCTCTCTAGTGTTATGGAGCTGGGATTTTGTCTGGTAACACTGCAGTGCATTCAAATATAACATTGTAAACGCTGTTGTTAAATAGCTAAACGATGAATGTTTTAACATAATTATAAAATAATGAACACAGATAAGTGAAATTAATATAGAAGCCTGTAGATTTATCACATAATTTTTGCCTATATTTCGTTTTTCCTTTCCATAATTTTTACAGTTGATTATCATTAAACCTAAATATCTGTTCGTCCGAAGAGCAGAAACAGTATTATATAAAAAAATAATGATGAAAGTAAACAAAGGGCGAATGCCGCTTCACCTCCATTGGTATTTCGATAAATAAACAATTTCAGGAAATTAGAAAATGTCACACTGTATAGTTAGCAATCATACTTTACACGTTTTGTTATCACCGACTTGAAAAAAGTAAGATCAAATGGCTTATGTAGTTTCCAAAAATTGATATGAATACACTTATTGGTTATTCGTATTATACCAATGTTACAAACTCATTTTCCGATATGCGAAGCTGAGCCTCGCCCGGGCTATGCCCATGAAGGGAGCCCGGCCTGTGTCGACTAATGCCGACTTGCTACCGTGTGTCAGCTGGTGCTAACCATAGAGACAGTAATAAAGACTAGAGGGTTCACTCATAGCGATTGGTCAGAACAGAAGTGAAGCCGCGCATGGGCAATCGGCGCCATTTGCTTTGTACGGCAAAAACGCACGGCAGCGTACGAAATCACAATAAACAGAACATGGGGTCATCTAAGTTAGCAGGGGCAACCTCTGAGAAAAACAGTAACGAACTTGTAAAAACTTGTAACGATTTAACATAAAGAAACATGGCGTTGGATAATTTAAACGATTGGAGCATTTAAAGCGTTGTTTTATAGCTGGAAAAGCTCAACCATCGTTCTTGAAATTGCAGGTAGGGTAGTCCTAGTCTAGGCCACACATTTTATTCGATTTACAACAATGTTCTCATTTCAAAACAATTTAAAATTTAAAACATGCATACCAAGTATTTTTTGTTTCCAACATAGCCCTTATCCACAGCCTCTTTCTTGTTTCA